AATAAACTCTTCTGATACAACTGATCCTCCAAAATACAACTCGGGAATCCATACTGTGTGGACCCCTAGAAAATCCAAACTAAACAAATGACAGCAATAACTGTCTAAATCAGGAAACTGAATCATAAAGGAACTCCTATGTAGCATCGGAAGAATGAAGTAGATTGATCCTCGCTCGGCACGATTAACCTCTACTCCTGACGAACACCTGAAAAATAATGGTGGGTCAGGCCCATAAACAAGTTCTACTCTATTACAGTCCAAGCAGAGATCCGATACACGTATACATCCTAGTCAATTCAACAGTAACTAGTAGTCCGTATATATATATATATATATATATATATACACACACACACACACACACACACTAAAGGAACCTCACTAGACTATAGGGTTGTCTCAACCTGAATAGTAGGCAACACGCAAAACGCACATATAGTGGGCATGAGTTTCTAGACCTACCAGGGTACACAACTACACTATATCTAGCTACACATCCTTGGCAATATACGCACCCTAACCACTGATCTTGAGACTCAGGCTCATATCATGGCACCATACTTATATATATATGATTTAGTAACCATCCTATCCAGTATAAATTAATCCTCCATAAGTCATTCAACTTGTTCAGCTGACCTGACTTGAATATAAGTAGGACTTAACATTTTAGTTAATCCATTCCCTTATATAAAATAGGTAGGGACTTAACTGATAAGTTAATCCGTCCCTAGAATGCCACCGTCCCATACCGGTGGATTAAACCACATAATATAACAATTGATGTAACGATTAAGGATATACATCAAATAATCCAGAAATAACTATGATAATATGATATCAAGTTATCACAAAATAGGAATGACTTATTATTTATTTAAGCTTCCTATATCATATGTCCTACACAAACTGAATCTTATACATGATGATATTTTATTATACCGTCAAATAAGCATTCTCCGTATCCAATTCATCCTACACATTTAATCTCAATTGCTTAAACATATTAAAAGATTAAATTCATTCGTTTGTTTAAAACATTCAAATAGCAAACATCATTATGATTGAGTCTATTTAAATTTATTTAAACCCAAACCTAGTTCCTATTTAATGTTCAGGAATCCTAGGCATGTTTCTACGTTCCATCATTCCACAGATATGAAAAAATACATAATGTAAACATATAAAAATTCACACCGGAAATCAAATCAAAATCATGCATTTATCAATTCATAACACAAGAGCAGATATGAACCAATTTCATAAAACCTATGTTCTAATCCAATTAAACATGCATAATTATTTAATTTTGTGTGTTTAATAAATCCTGGAATTTCCTAGGCATGCATGGAAACACGAATCAAAGGGAAAGAGATGGAAGAAGAACTTGCCTTAAACTTTCGGATCGAAAGTTAAACTTCTTCTTTCTTGATCTTCTCTCTACAGAGTTTTTCTCCTCCTTCCTTCCTTCTCTCTCTAGAATATATCACGTGAATATTTCTAACCCCCTTTTACAACCTGTAGCTATATATTTATAGGCTAAATAAAATAACCCTAACCCTTTTCCTAATCCAAGTCAACTTAAAAAAAATAAAAAAATAAAATAAAAGTAATTAATAATTTACTTTCCCTTTAATATATATTAAAAAGGTAAGTAAAATATGTTACGTATATAATTTATGTATATGTTTATTAAATAAATAAATTATACACCCCATTATTTATTAATGGATTATCCAATAATATTTAAGTTACCATAATATTATAAAGTAACTTAAAATATAACACGTATCAAATCTATGTATATTTTTATTATTTAAATATAAAACATATACATCAGATTAAATATTACTACCCAAGTTACCATAAAAGTAATTAATAATTTACTTTCCCTTTAATATATATTAAAAAGGTAAGTAAAATATGTTACGTATATAATTTATGTATATGTTTATTAAATAAATAAATTATAAACATTCCATTATTTATTAATAGATTATCCAATAATACTTAAGTTACCATAATATTATACAGTAACTTGAAACATAACACGTATTAAATCTATGTATATTTTTATTATTTAAATATAAAACATATACATGAGATTAAATATTACTACCCAAGTTACCATAAAAGTAATTAATAAATAACTTTCCTTTTTATATATGTATATAATATATATCTATATATATACATACACAACTATTCACGGGTAATAATCCATACACATCCAACCTCCTATCCAAATAGTTCATGGGACCCAATTGGTTGGCCAAATACCACTAACCATAACCATAAAAGAAAAATAAAATAAAATAATAAAAGAAACGAAAACATTTAATTTACAATTAATCAAAATACTATTTAAGTACGTAATCTAATTAAACAATTAACACATAGACAAATACAAATAATACATAAACACATAATCAAATAATCAAGTAATACCTAATTCAATTAAACACACAAACAATTAGTCAAATAATCAATTAAATAATTAAAAATATAATTAAAACAAATAAATAAATACCGAGACTATCCTTTTAAAATTAGGGGTATTACATGTGCTGTAGCACTAATGTATTCATAGGGAATTGGATTTAGATATTCCACAATAGCCTAGCGTCACATGTAGCCAGTTGCATCCTCCAATTCATATCCAAGCATTTCTTCATCATCTTCTTTAGAAGCATTTCTTCACCCGTAAATCTGGTATTTGAGGCTGGTTCCTTTCGAAATTTGCTTCCTCGTGCCCCCCCTACAGTTGGGTGGATTTAGGATCCTTTTGTTAGAGGATGAGGGGGTGGGCAAATGGGTTATACGAGAATGTAATAAAATTAGGTTACCATTTTACCATTAGATTGGAATTGAGAGTTGCTAGGTAATTTAAAAAAAAAAAACTAGAGGGTATTTAATTGTTTAGAAAGAGTATTGAAATAAATTATCAGAAATGTTCAAAATGGTTCAGGAAAAAATATTAAATAAAGGGCATGGGTGTAATAGTTTTGAAAAATTAGGAAGGGGGTGGGGTGGGGATATATCAATTTCCACTGTACATATCTCAGTTCCTCTCACTAGAATAGGATTCCAGCCATTCTTCTCGGAAATCAATGCTACCCACGAAGCAACTAGTATCCAGATTGCACTCTTTATTTATCTAAACTGATAGAAGAATTGACATGAGGGAGTGGCTGTAGTGTTAATCTCCAAATCATAACTCAACTGTCATGACAATAGGAGATAGAAAGAGATAATGTGATGGAGGCCAGGGATGGACCCATGTTGATTCCAGTGGGGGCATCTGACCCCACTGAACTTTCTTTTATTTCCATTATATACCTACAATTTTTATTAATATTCTAAAATTACCCCACTGAATTTTTGATATTATATATACTTGCCCCCACTAAGGTTTTAGGTTATAAAAAAAGTAATCAACTCTCTCTCTCTCCTCTTTTGATTATATTGTTGGGGTTTCCAAATAATCAAAATCTTATCTAAACAAATAAAAGTTACATTTCAATGGTAGAGCCACTTTTTGCCCTGACTTAACTTTTTTGTTATTTCATTTTTGCATGTGATCTTTTTATTGTTGTACAAATGCCCCTACAAAATAATAAAAATACCCTTGATCTTAAAACCGAACACAAAGACGAATAGAGAGAGATAAGGAGAGGACGAAGCATGTTTTTGCAACTTGTGTTTTCATAAGGTGAAAACTTAACGAATACAATTGTAAATGTATTGAGTGGAAATATTATCAATCAACATCTATATTTTTGTATTTATTATCTTGGTTCAAAATTTTTATAATCTTATTATTATTCAAGGTCACCCCCACAAAAAAATAAATAATAATAATAATCATCTTTGTTATGTTTCTCCTTATTTTGCAACTGACAACTTACTGAAGATAATGCTGGACACAATGTTACTCCTTATCTTTTGCTTCTTGTCATGTGCATCCTAGTAGCATATAATCAATTACCTTCAAGTAGAAAACAAGAATAGCAAAGCATACTCTTAAAGCAGTTTCCCTTATTTTTGTATGGATGGTCTTTTTGCCAATTTCAATCCTTCACTGTTGTTGATTACATCCTACAGATGTTCAAGCCTGAGCATGCTGCCAAAGCTGTCTATAATTTCGTAACACAGCTTTATATATATAATGTTGGTGTGAGTTCTATAATTTCTTAGCACAATCACTCCGACATACCAATAAAAGGCTTTAGGATGGAAATTATTTTATTTACTTCATTTTTAATTTAAAAACTCGCTTTTGCTATCATTTCAAAAATTGATGTTTATGTAATGGGACATCAGCTACTGGCTATTTTTGTTTCTAGTCATGAAACATACATCAGCAGGAATCCTCATGTCACCCTAAAATTGACCTTTGCCCCTGTTCTGGTTTACCAATTTAAACCCTTCTAATGGCATTTAATATTCTTGGAGAATAATTGCCCAGTCCCTGGATGCATTTGCATGAAGAAAATAGTATGCTTGAAAGAATCCAACACTGTAGTTCATTAGGTCTCCAAAGCCTATGTCGCGCTGAACTTTGAGGTTAACTGAAAGTGAAACCAGTCATTCTGAATTTATGAGACATAACTGAAAGTGAAACCAGTCATTCCGAATTTATGAGACAGTATTTTGGTGTAACTACATTGTGTACTTCCATATAGAATTCTGAAGCACTACCCATTTACATATTTACGACATATAAAATTTAATGGAATTTTAGTTTAAATGATTGAGAAAAGCCAATGAAGTAGTATATATTTTAAATTTTTTTTGAAGACCATGGACACCCGACAAACCCACCCCATGCTGGGATGGAGCCTCCCCTCTTTGTCCACCCCTTTTGCACGGAGGCTTGTCAAAATCTTCTCATGGAACTTTGCAATCTTCTTTTTCAGTTATTACTGAATGTCACAGTTGCATGGAAGGCTTTTTCCACTTGTTATTAATTCTATTCTTGTTTATAAAATTTTCAGGTTCTCTTATGCTTTGGAAATTCAGTAGCCTCAACCCGCTTTCTATTGCAAGACGAGTTCAACATACAGACAACACAATGTGATAATTGCATTATTGTACTCTCTCTCTCCCTCTCTCAATTTATTTTACGTTTTTTTTTACATTTGGTTAAAGTAGTTGGCAAAACAGCTTTTTTGAGTCACATTTGGTTAAAACATGTTTCGTACTGATATCTAGGGTTTTATGTTCTGCCTTCAACAAATTGCGTGCATATTTTCCATTGTTGCTATGATTGTTGGAAGTGAGGAAATCCAAGAGGCTTCTCAGTTACTATCTTGTTTGGCTGAAATGGTCTACTGCACGTAAGGTTTCCCTTCCCTGCTTACTTAATGAACTCTCATCTCAAATAATTAGAGAAAATCCTTCTGACTCTACTGTTTGATTTTTTTTCCTTTTATGCAGGGTTTGTGCGTGCATGCAGGTATGTGAGAGATATAGTAAATTAATTTGGGTTTGGAAACTATATTATAATGCTAATTGCATAGAAAATGCTTTACAAACAAAGTTGTATGGAAATTCTTCATGTACTGACAAGGCTGGACACTTTTGAAAGCAAGAGGAAAATGGTTGCCTTCTTATTTTGAAAAATAATTACGAATTAAGAGTATTACACATCATTTAGTGTTAAATTCTGTATACAATCACTGTTTGTAGAGCATTGCTCTTTGCTGCATATCACTTCATCATTAGTTAACTGGTATTGGAATTATTGCAGACACAACACAAAATCGAAATGGACAAACGAGATGGTATGTTTGGGCCACAAGTGATGGCAGTTCCCCCTGTCCAGCAAATGTCACGGCTTGATCAGCCATATCCTCCCACTGTTGGATATCCACCTCCACCTGCATACGGGCAGCCTGGTTATCCGCCTCCTCAGGCTCAAGGCTATCCACCTGTTGGTTATCCTCCTTCTGGCTATCAAAGGTGATCCCTATGCTGTACATGTTTGCAAGTAAAATCACATTTAAACCCATGCATCTATTATTGCATGATCGAGACCAGAGGGGTGGGTATGGTGACTGATTTGTGTGGTTAATTGTTGATTGCATACATGTTCTAAACATAGTAAGGACCCGATTTATTATAGATTTGTATTTGGTTTACATATGTGTTTGCAATTGGTGTAAGATACAAATGGAGTTATGCTTGCATTTAGTAAGTTTGGATTTTCTATGGAACTCATGTTTTGTCATCTATTTGTTCAGTTGCTTGGCTCCCCCAATTGGTTGGGAGAGGGTACCATTTTTCATTTTTAATCATTGTTAGGACTTTCATAGTATCATAGAAAGGGTAGTAGGTTATTTATTTATTTATTATTATTATTATTTGTAATTTTCTCAATCTTAAATTTCCCCAACAATCCGTAGAAACCCGAAAGGAATGCTTTTGAATGAACTCAAGCTAAGAGAAGTAATAATTTCATGATTGAGAATTCGAAATGCATATAAAAGGTTAGTGGCATTGTGTGTCTATATATGTGTTTATATGTGTGTGTGCTTTTGAATGAACTCAAGCTAAGAGAAGTAATAATTTCATGATTGAGAATTCGAAATGCATATAAAAGGTTAGTGGCATTGTGTGTCTATATATGTGTTTATATGTGTGTGTGTGTGTGTGTGTGTGTGTGTGTGCACCCACTAAATCAATCAATGGATATCCGAAATGCAACCAAACTGATGGTCGATCAGTTGCGGAACGTCTTGCAGCTCAGCTTCCATCGATGGCAGAATTATAACTTTTAAAATGTGAATTTCATCAAATATCGTGCATATGGTTAGTTGTGTTTTTATTTTTATTTTTAAATGTAGTTGGTGAGGGATTTAAGATTTTGTAAAAGCATTGTGAGAGTTATTTGTTTGGAAAAAAAATTAAATGTGTAGAAAATTAAATGTGCAGAGATAGGTAATATTGTAAATGAGAAAGAGAGAGTGATTAAGATTGAAACATGATTGTCAAATCTAGTCACTTTGTTAAGTGGGTTTCCTCCACAGATTGAAACAAGATTATGAACAAGTTCAAGGACTTTTTGGTATTTACACGTGGTACTCTGGCGCTGATCAATTCTCTCAATTTGACTTGATATGGTGAAAAAATGAGTCCATTAATTAGAGACACTACAATATGGTGACAAAATGAGTCCATTAATTAGAGATACTACAATATGATAAAAACCCTAAAATATTGTATACATTCTTGTTATACATGTCTAAGCCTTCGATTTCACTAATATCCGTTTAAATTTCATTTTCCTACTGGTAAAACGAGGGAATGGAAAATGTAATCTGTTCACTTCAACTTAAGCGTATGCAAAAAAAGGTCATTATAGCTGTCTGTGCAGGATGTTGCTAGGAGGTGAAGAATGACACAGACCTATTATATAGTCTATAATCTATATATATAATCTTAAACTACGTGTACGTATATATGATTATATATATGTATGTGTTATATATATGGACAACAATAAGAGAGGTTTGTCATTTGATTCCTACTAGCTCAACCATGATCATCACATTCAAAGTCTGGATCCCACTTGACACGACCTTATCAACCCATGGAGCTTGGTTTCCACGCTGTTTTGACAAACATAGCCATATCCAACACACTCCAACCAAACAAAAACAAAAGATAAGTAGATCTAGAAGGTCGGGTCATGTTCACTCTTAAATAACGTTTGACATTTTTTCCTTTGGTAGGTTCATAAATCATAATAATAATAATAAATGCTAATCGTGCGGGTTCAATAGTCTTAAGTTCTCATGGATTATAACCATACACGTAATCGTGTTGAGCATTCCACGTGGCACCATATCCACATTCCATGTAGTAGGAAAGCATTTTACACGTAATGCGCATAACCTTGCTTGGTCTTATATTTGACAGTTCACACGAATTAGCAAATAAATTGTTTAAAGTTCAATGTTATTATTATTATTAATTATATATACTAGTATAATTATATGTGTGTACATATATATATATTATACATAAGTCGTGTTTGGACAAATTAGCAGCAGTTGGGGCGGCATGAAGAAGTTAAAATTGTCTCATTTAAAATTAAAAGTGAAGAAATATATATATCATATATAAATTTGTGTGATAACTAATCGACAAACAGATAATCCAAATTCCAAATTAGCTATATATTATTAAATCAAAAACTATATTTCTTCAACTCCATACATTACGTCAAGTGTATAATATAAAGTGATCTATAAATTGGAGAGTGAATTATAAACATTTCATCCAAACTTAAACCTAATTTTTTTTACCCTAAAGATAGTATCACCCATTGCCGGTACGTTTAATTAGTGTTATGGAAGGAGTAGATTGAAGACTGATATAACATTTGTAGTGTTATTTAGAGTATTATTGGAATGAATTTTCACCATTAAAAAACAAACAAACATAAAAAATACACACAAACATATATAAGCATACAGGTATAATACAAATAATAATAAATAAATAAATAAAAGGTGATAAACAATGCGGTAGCATTTATATATTATTTGTTGTATTCATACTACATAATTATTATTTCTATATAAATTTGTTGTTTTTTTTCACCTGTATCTCAATGTTAAATCAAACTAAAAGAGTAATTCAATAAATTTCTGGTTGTAAAGGTATTATAAAAAATTTATACAGTTACATATCTTATTTTTAACTATTCATAAAAAATTAAATTAATATCTTATTTTTAACTTACCAAAAAAAATAGAGCTCTTATTTATTGTTTCAAATATTAACATGTAATTACAAAAAATTCATGTAGTTGATCATATTCATATGAGATTAAGACAATAATGATGATGAAATATTAAAATTTAGTTTTAAAAGATTACGTATAGTTACATAATTGAATTGATTTATCATAACATTTAAGAGAATATCTAGATATTAGATAATATTAGTTATGATTAAGGGATACAAAAATATTAATTATGGTTAAGGGATACAAAAATTTTAACTTTCTAATGACTGGAAAAATGAAATGACAAGGATAATTACTAGTCATGTTAATAGAATTGCAGCCTATTTTAAAAATTAGAAGAATTTTTTTATTATGTATAATATTGAAAATATTAATATGTGTATTATATGATTCAACTAAAAAAATATGAGAATTAAGTTAAAAACTTGTCAAGCATGCAATTTTTTTTTTTTTTTTTTTTTTCTCTCAAAATTATTTTTACGTACTTGCGTTTATACACGTATCAAACACATTTACTAACAACAAATAAAATCTTCTAATTACTACATATATGCACGTGTATGGTACTTGTATAGTACTCATTTTCACTAATTAATTACGACTCTACGAGTGCAATACATGTATAGTTTTTGTTTATTAATCATTATTGTCAATAAGTTGAAAAGTATTCAATTGAATTTGACCTTTAAGCAACCAATTCTAATTATGTAGTTTTGGATTTTCCCAAATATGGTAAATAAATTTTATGTTCAACCAAATAGCGGGCTACAATGAATCGAGTCTAAGCTTTAGGCTTCTTGAGCTCGGGTTTATTTGTTTATAGAATCAGTTCAAACCGTGATGAGATCAAAAAAACTGATCTCAAACTTGGCTCAACTCAACTTCTTTAAGAAAACAAATTGAACTCATGATCAAAATCGATAAAACTCATATTTTACCTCTAGGAATTCTAATAAAAATAGAAACAAATATAAATAAGTTCACGAACATATATAAGCACGAGGACATGTTTCCATACATAAACTAAGCTGTACGAGATCACGTTCACCCGTTGAGCCCAACATCATTTGAAATCAACTCGTTTATTTCACGAATGAGCCCGAGTTGAACTCTAAATGAGCCGAGGTTGAATTGTTCATCAACAACTCAGTTGATTTGTAACCCTAGTCTATAAGTTATAAGCCACATGACCCCCCGCATTCCTAGTTTCCCGTCAACCCGAACTAACACATTCCTTATTATACTCTTAAGAGGACCTTCTAATGAGAAGAGTCGTGAGCTCTCCTATTTAACCATTAGATTGAAACAATTTTTTTTTAAAATATAAAAATTCAAATAAATTATTTAATACATCTTTCAATTTGAAAGTTAAAAAAGAAGAATTCATGACTCTTCTTATGAAATTCTAATTTTTTCAATTTACCTATAAAATTTTTTAGGACAAAATTTACCTTTTATGAAACAAATTCAAAGTCACAAGTAAAATCCACATAACTATAGACAGGTAAGATTACCAAATACATAAACAAACCACATATTCCTATTAAAATCATAACATTGTCTCCACAACCAACAAACCCCATTTTGGCAGGACTCATGAATTATCATTGACTGTTTTATTCCCATTCCACACAAAACAATAAACAAATAAATTAATCAATTAACAATGAAAATACTTTGAAGAGTAAAAAAATAGAATTATTTTGGATGAGTTTAGTTAATGGTTGATATTTAAGGCAATAACTTATTTTGTATCCAATCTGTCACTCTCAACACTAGGTACATATATATATATTAAGGGATGACTAATTAAGTTTAGACTCAACATAAATGTCTTCCATTTTAATTCATTATAATTATTGTCCTCAAATTCATTAATCCATTTCATTTCTTAAACCTCAAAATTCCAAATAAATAAGTAATAACACATCCTAACAAACCAGAACAAATTATTCCTCAAAAAAGATACTACTATAATTCGTATGGACATAAAATTCATGAAGTTCACGATCATCATAAATGTTAGAAAAAACTCTAAACCCATCGAACAAGTCAAATACAAGCCCTCAAGATCCAAAAAGAAGTAATGAATTTTAAAAGAAATAAATATAATTTAACGGAGGGTCCAATATCAAAATTATTTAAACCACCATAAACTATACAATCTTTGTTTTTTTTTTTTTGGGTAAAATTCTTATTTTGATAAATTTAGTACTATACATTTTCACATTGTCATCTCAACCTCTTCTAGGGCCTCAACCAATTCCAACTAACAAACCAGCCAAACAGACCCCAAAATCAAAACCCACTAGGACCCAATAATCGGCGAGTACTCGCCGTAGTAATCCGAAATACCAGAAGCCGCCCAAAGCCTCTCGTTGAACTCGTCCTGCAAATCCTCGGCGATGAATGGCGTCCTACAGAGCGGACACGTCTTCTGATCGTGGTCCATCCAACGATCCAGACAGCTCCGGTGAAATATGTGGCGGCAATTGGTCAGCCGTCTGATCTCATCACTACCGTCGAACTCGTACAGGCATACCGCGCAACTCTCGGGCGGGTCCACCAGGTCGGAGAATTTCACGACGGGCAGGAGTTCCCGGATCAGAACGGCCGAGACGGAGTGGAATTCGGAAACGGAGTCGGGTCGGTCCGTCCAGGAAATGTCGGGTTCGAGGAAATCGCCGAGACCCAGAGATCGAAGGAGGGTGGAAATGAGTTTTCTGATGAAACCCAGAACCGTAAGTGTGTGGAGGAGTAGTTTTGGGAGGAGGATATCTGTGTAAGCAACTGGGAATCCCATGTTTTTAAGAGAGAGAAAGAAGGTATATAGATATATATATAGAGAGAGAGAGAGGGGTGTACATGTATTTGGTTTTGCACTCTGTGGTGTGTTTCTGGTTTATAGAAATACAATGTTCAGACAGGACAGAGGACTGTCATTTGGGTGTAGAGAGAGAGAGAAAATGGAAAATGGCGTGTGAGGGTGTCTGTCTTATAGATAGAGGCGTTACATATATATACATTGTAATGTCACTGATGGTCCTAAAGCTTTTGAGAGAATGAACCCAAAGGCACTTTAGCGTAAGGATTGGGCTAAGCTTTGTTTTTTTGTGTGTGACTGTCCGTGTCTCCGTGATATACTTAAATACTCTGTATATTTATATTTTATCCTCTGTTGTCCTATCACCTATGCCCTAGATTCACACTAATAGTGAAACTCTTTTTTATTTTTTATTTTTTAAAGAAAGAAAGAAAGTAAGATAATTATAAAAATATAAAAAATATTGCAGCATATCTCTTCTCCTTATAATGGGATTACAACATGTTCAACAATTTAGAAAAACATTTGCAATGCATACTACAAATTGCTAAAGCTTGTATGATACTATTTTTTTTTTTTTTTTGGGTGCGCAATTAACCAATAATACAAAATTTAATTTTAGCTTGACACACACATGTATATCAATATGCATGTATGAAACAATTGACCATAAAGGTTTCCTACTGAAGAATTATCACTGATTTTTTTCTTTTTAGAGAAAATAAAAAGAAGATTAGAGAACATCACAAGTATATTTTTGTTAGACTTGAATTTTCAATATTTTTGTTGGTAGGTCCTTCGAATTGATTCTCGATAGAAGATCATAGAACTTAAAAAAAAAATTGTCGATCTTTTTAAAGGCATATGATAACAACATTTTTAATTTTGGATATGGGACACACTATTAGACCCTTAAATAGATCAAATTTGGATCGGCTCATGCCTGATTTGATCCTAATTCGATAATAGTTATATCGGTTGGATTATTTATAAATCAATTTAAATCCCATTTATTTTCATTGGATATTTGGTTTGATAACTTGATCAGTTAAGGATGCAATTTTTTGTTAAAAAAAAATTAAGTGAACTTAGATTAGTAAACAATTATTTGGGAAAAAAGAGAGATGAAAATTTTATTGCTGAGTCTTACAAGGAGTTCTCATATGGACTGTTTGTTCTACTTCCTTAGATTACTATGCTCTGACCACTTCTACTGGTCTTCTTCTAGTTGATATCACACAATGTAATAGCACACTTTCCATGTTCTAGATTGGTGACTTTGTTCCCTTGTAATCTCCTGGTTATATATGCCTCTTGTATATTGCATCTTCTTTCTTTTTTTATTTAATCATAACAAACCTAAAAAACAAATAAGCCAATTTTTATTTAATGTATGGATCAAGCAATTAAATGCTTTAATATCATATAGAAAATGATGGAGCCTAAAATCCAATATGCTTGATTCCCCCTTGGGGCATATGAGCTGATGAGATCCACAAGGCCCTATTAAAAACTCTCGCACTTGTAGATGATCAAAAGTTTTCTTATGATACATCAATTTCAAGGATATTCATTGTCACCCATCTCATACCATATCACATAAATTTATTTCATCTTATAATGCATATTGTAAGTGAGTTTAGTGCTGATGATGGCTAATGAGTTTTTTAAAAACTAATATTTTTCTCTTAATTAATGTTTTGTTTGATTGGATGGATGAAAAAATAAATGGAAAAGACAGGGGAATGGATGAATAAGGCATCCCTAAGGAAGGGAACGTGCCTAACTCACTTAGTGTTTGAATGAAATTGATAGTAAGAAGGATGAATGAGGGTAATATTATTATTATTATTATTATTATTATTTGGTTGGAAGGAAGAGAAAGAGGGTTTTTATATTCTTTTTACTAATATGCCTTCATTATTCAAACTTTTAAAAATTCTATATCTATCCCAAATTTTTAGAAAGGTTAGAAATGAAAATTCTATATTTGTGTTAGTTATTACTTATTTCTCCCTCATTTTCCTCTCAATTTTGGGTGCAAAGAAATATGCAAAGGAATGGGGGATGTTTTATCTTTCCTTGCTTTCTCCCTTTTTTTCCTTCCCTCCAACCGAACACAAAAAAGTTAGTTTATCCCCCTCTCATCCATCCCTTCTCAATTTTTCTCTCCAACCAAACATAACATAAGAAAAACTAAATAAATACGGTGTGTTATTCCAATTCTCTCCTTTTTTTTTCTTAAAAACTTTATTTATTCATTTTTGTCAACAACGGTAGAGTTGGTTGTCTAGAATATTTCATAATCACCGGGAACATATGTTGTTGCACTGTCTCACATGCACTGAATAATTATTAATTTTTATTTATTTATTTATTTTTTAAAATGACCTCAAGAAAATTCCATCTCCCCCAATATACAAATAAAAAGTGCCAAATATTATAAAGGAGCAATGATCAAGTGATGGGACCAAAAGAGCAAAGTTCATTGCATTGTGATGTCCTATATTTGCCATCAAGTGGGGACTACTGGGTTCTACCTATTAATCATCACTGAGGATGCCCCAAAACACCGCCTAAACACTAAAGAACACCAAATGAATATAAAAGAGCATCAATCATCATCCTTAGCAAACCCCAAAAAAACAAGCCAAGACCATTAAAGTAAAGGTTTAGTCATGGCTAGTCATATTATTAGGTTCCACACACAATCATAGTGTCATTGTTATATCTTATGAATGAAGGCTTTTTTAGACTACTTTGAAACAAAGTTTTAAGGCTCTATCTAGGAGTACCTAATACATACATTCCCTTTTACATATTTTATGATATGCATTAAGGTGGTGTTTCTGAGTCACTTCATCCCTCTTATTGTGAGAAAAAGACTGTTGATCCATAAACATGACTACTTTAAATACAGTCAAATATTTCAAAGTTCCAGTAGTAATCATGAAAGCAATTGAAATTACAAATGATATTGATAGTTTAGTGGATTATTATGGAATAATATAGTACGGCATTAACCTAAACAACTTGAACATTTACTTAAAATAAAAATACCACGTACTTCAATTTTCTCATTAGCCTTGTGTTTATGAAACAACAGATTGTTAGGACGAATTCACAAATATAAATGTTAACAACCTCTCTCCTTCTCATATGAATATACACAGGGGTGGAGGTAGGTTTATATATATACACATTTACAATATCTATTATATTAATTTAAGAGATAAAAAAGGAGAAAAATTACTAATGTTCTTTCATGTTTATTAAGAATGCATAAACTTTTTTTTGTCAAGCATTTTTGTTAAGATGATGTTTACAAAAAAAATATATATATATCTAAAATTATATACCAATTTCTATTGACGAGTCTAATGAGCACCGGGAAGAAAGATGTGCTAAAGTATTTTGAGACGATTAACAATAACTATAATATTATCTACGTTTATAATTTTAAATTTTAGTTACATAATACAAATTTCCTCCCCCCTTCCAAAGTAAAATTTCTAACTCTGCCCCCAAATATATATATATATATTTGTGAACATATATGCTGAGAGAGGGAGGAGGAGGGTGTGAGCCCTGGCCAACCAACAAAGCATGATGGGTTGGGATCAAGGGTAAGGCTTGGAAGTTTGCGAGTCAAGGTGGGCACGGGGACAAAGTTCGGATTGCAGAATCATTTGGTACTAAAATAATTTCATGATTCTTAAGTTATTTTGAGAAAATATAGATCATAATTCAGAACAAGTGTAATCTATAACTTTAACACTTTGTTTGGAATCAATTTCTTTTAATTTGGAATTGAAAAAGGAAAATAATGGAATTGAATTTGAAATGATCTATTTTTGTGTTTAGAATAAACTGAAATTTAAATATATATATATATCTATATATGTATATTTCTTTCACCGTTATATTAGTGTAATATTATGTTTCACTAAAAAGAACAAATTACAAACTGACACCTAAACTAGTTCATAAATTCTATTAAATCCCATCAATTTTGAGGATTTGAGAACACTATTATGGAATTTCAAGTCCCATAAAATCCAAGTAGTAAAAGACTTGAATCAATCTGAACAATTCACGAATTACAATGAAAATCATTTGGAATACCTGGGATGATAAAATAAAAATAAAAATAAAAAATCCAATTGAAATAACTCCAATTTTTTTTTTTTTTTTCAAGGCTTAAGTCATACAACCCCCGCTACTTTCATTTTTTTTTATCATAAAATCCCAACTTATTTGTAAAAACCTCAACAAGATTAAAAAGTTGTCACTTTGCCCCAATTCTGTTATATTGGGCTGTTAACTTAGCACGCAGTTAACAAATGCTTTAACCATCAAAATTTAATGACGAAAATACCCCTGGAGGAACATGTGCCAAATAAGTTGGGATTTTATTATCATAAGAATAATTTAGTTATTTCACAAACTCGGTTCATTAAAAGAATTGGGATAAAGTGATAACTTTGTAATCCTATTGGAGTATTACAAATAAATTGGAATTTTATGATAAAAAATGAAAGTATTAGAGGTTTTATGGTTTAAGCCAAAAAAATAATAATAATAAAAAAAAAAATCAAAATTAATTTTGAAGAATGTTGTTACTGGTGTGCAATGTTCCACCCCACTCAGGCCTATGAAATGTGTCTGGTTAGGTCAAGACACCATGGGCCCACAAACCACGATAAGATTATAACAACACACAAAACATGTAGACTTGCCTGCCCGCCCCCCCCCCCCCCCCCCCATATCACTCTCCTCTCTCTCCCCACCCACACTTGCCTCCCCTTTTTGCCCTGCCCTTTGTCTTTGCACAATTGTATTCACACTTGAATTTCCCATTCCAAATCATATTTTTATTACTATTTCTTAATTCATTATAAACTCCTACAATGTATTTGTAAATAGAATGATTTCTTTTTCATATTATGTATCTCTTGGAACAACTATTAACAGCTATTTGCATCATAAAGAAGAACATTCATTGATCATATCCAAGGGACAACACTTGTTAGAGCATTTTCTTCTCCTGTCCTTTTCCTGGGAATTTAATCATTATTTGGTCACAGTTCAGTTCATTATCTAGAAGACTGATGTAATATAGAATTTAATAAACTAATTAATGCAAATTTATAACCTACTAATCTCTATCTCGGCCGACAAAT